TTTGACTACAACAACAATTTTTTTTATTAAGGCTCTATGTAATGTCCATCAAACATTAATACCAGTCTTGCATAATGAATGTCATCATAAAAATTATACACATTATATCTATAATTAATAAAAAATAAAAAAAGAATAATAAAAATGACAAAAAAATCGACATTGAATCTTAAATAAGTCGAATAAAAAAACAGAAGATATCATTAAAGATCATTGCTAAAATACATATGTATGTAATAATTACAGTTTATCTCTGAGTTTATTACAAATACACGATGTTTGTTAGAAAATATCAACGTTTACGATTAAATGATTTAATTTCTTCGAGCTGGCCTGTTAAAATTTAATCGTTGTGGAAAGCAAACGCAATTTCTGATCGCAATTAGCAAACACGTTAAATGCGTCAAACATTCCAGCGAATGATTGCCCCCATCTAGTTAACAGTATGCCAACCGATACCAGTAATGAATAAATTTTAATTGGGAACACAATTCTCTCTCTTTCTCTCTTTCTTTTTCTCTCTCTCTCTTTTGGGACTCGTTGCTGTACTATGCTGCTGTATCTCGTGAATCTCGATATTAATCGGATTTCGGTGTAAATACGTACGACTTGACCTCTTTTATTTTTAAAATTTCTGTAATTAATAGAGTTCTCTGACTTTTCCTCCAACAAGAATTTCTATTTCAAAAAGAGCTCTAGCAATTAAATGTAAAAAAATAGAAACTAAAATACCTAGTTACCTATCATAATTTTAATAAAAATAACTCTGATTTTTTATTCTAATGTCTACATTGAAATTTTAATAATCGACGGAATTAATCTTACTTTAATAAATTTTTTCATAAATTCATATAACAGCATAATATAATTATAATTGACCATATTAAAAGATAATTTTTCAGATTTTTTCAATTGTTGAGCAAATATTATTATTATGCAATTTCGTAACAGATACGTAATAGAAATAAGTTTTAAATGACATTTGCAATGTCGTATCTAATTGAAAATCCAGAAAGCTTGATGGCTTTAATTAATTGCCGAGGTAGGATAATTACGTCCGAAACTCTCCGACAATGAAGAGATGGTATGTGTATCAGAGCACATGCCTTCGTATCGGTACCTGCCAGTTCGATATGCATGGGAACATAGCGGCATGTGGTTTTGTCGCGACCATATGGCGCATCCGTAAACGCACGTGCGAGAGAGAATGGAAAGGCACATATTTTTTTTGTATAGCACGCTATATCTCTCATTTCTCATAACGAAACGTTCGAACTATTAAAAATTGCAAGAGCGTATACACTATACACTGATGCAATTGTAACAAACTTATAACAATATGTTATGCAATAATATATTTCTCAATGAGATTCTCAATGAGAAATTTTAATAAAATATCATTTTAAAGTCACGTTAAAAATATGTTTCTCTATTAAATGGATTATTTTTATCATGTGTTGTAATTGAATGTAAGAATGAAAATTGTATATTTGTAGTGTGAGATATATTCTATGAATTTCCGATAAAATTTATTCGATTGCGAGAATCGACAGTTAAAGTGACATAATGCACTCTTGTATAAAATGCAAGTGTTCGTCTATTGATACAGACAGATTTTGCAATAGCATATTTCCAAAACCGGTACCGACAACATTCTCGTACCTGCAAACAACACGCCATAATTTATCGAACGAGTATTTCAAACTTACTTCTATATGATTATAATTTATAAAGGAATATATTTAATCTGACAATATCTTCATTATGCTTTTTAAACTTGACTTATAATAATTAAAATATTACTAGAATAATATAAATATGTATAGTATAATGGAATACTTGTTGAAAAATCAATTTTAATGTAAATGTTCAGATTTTATCAACTTAAAAATATTGGGAAATTTATACTTTTCAAGATTTTTTCTGTTCGAGGAAAGTATTTTCATCGAGTTACCAGAAAATTTATCAAAAATCAATATGAAAAACGAGTATGAAATTTGACATTGTAGTTGTAGACCAATATAATTTTCAGTATTTTTAAAATTTAAAATACATTACAGAGAAAACGTCTTAAAAGCTTCCAACGTTTTACTTTTTTAGAATTATACACTAAACTATACAATGAACGCTTTTTGTACGTACTTTACATTCTATTTATATATTTCCTATTTCTAGGGACTTGCATGCTTAACATTCTAACAATTATAAGCATTATGTTTATGCAGCTATTTGAAACTGGGTATTTTATTATATTTGGATATAATTTTTATTAAAGATAAATCTGATGTTCTGAATTATTTCTTAATATCGATGTTATTATTATTTTTTTATATAGAACAAAAATAATTTTAATATTACCTACTAGTCGAATATTAAAGGTCCGGATTCGCATGGTCAATAATAAAGGGTGCTAACATGAAGGGTGCTACCGAAATAGCAATCCAAGTCGCAGTTGCAAAGTCTTGTGGAAGGATGTTGGGAGTCGCCCTTCGATCGACGAGACGCAAGTGCACGTTCGTTACTCTTTACACCTGTACTCACGCATAGCGTTCCGGTATTTCGAGTGTGCGTGCGTTATGACGTATTGTGAAATTCTCGTATATGCGTACTACATAATGTGAAAAAAGTCCGACCGAAATAGTCGCAGCTGAGCAACGCGTCATTGCGGTTCACGACCTTTTTTGAAGCGGTCGTAGAGATTTTTGTCGCACACAGAAGGGATAGAGCTACCATCATGTATGTTAAAATAGCATGTTATGCCAATTGCTGCAATATGACTATACATGTGTCAAGTTAAAAAAAGAAAGATAACAAACGAGACATTTAATTTTATTGGTCAGTTATTTTTGCTGACCAAAATAGAATCCAATATACATATGATTCTTGAGGATTGCAAAAAGAACGAGGCGTTTATTTTTCAGGACCGGAAGATAATCTTGAACTGTTTAAATAGCTTTTATATTTCTGTGCGATTGAGAATTCTTCACGATGTTAAAAAAAATATTATATTTAAATAAAGCCTTTTATTTATTAATTATATATTTAAATATGTTATATATATATATATATATATATATATATAATATATTTTTCCTATATCTCTTTTTACATTTTTCCATAAGTTTTTATCATATGTTTCAATTAAATCATCATCATTAACAATTTTGCGAAAATTATTAGCCACGCCTTTAAAAATCAAATAAAAACATAGATTTTTAAGAATTAATGTAATCGTGTACTTATTAAAGAGCCTTTGAAACAAACTTCCTGCATTTAATGTCCGTATTTGGCTTTGAAATACCAAAGACGTAGGAGAGCAAAGGCAGATGTTGAGTTCCTTTCGTCATCTTCGTCACGAGCCTCTAAATGCGAAAAATAAATTTACGTATCGCAGCTGCTCAAAGAAAAACTAAGAATGCATATCATTAAGAAATTTTAGTACCGTTAATTGTTACCTATATTTTGCTTAATTAAATCTTGAAATATGCACATATAACTTGCTTGAAGTCTCATTTAAATTTAATAAAAATATGATCTTTAGTTTTAAATACATCAGCTTTAAATTGTGTGGAATAATATTAAATAATCCTAATAAAATTAATAATTTCTTTTCATTCTTTTATTTTAATTTAATACAATCAATTAATTTAATTATTCTTAACTTAACTGAGTTCTGGTTTAAATTATTTAACGTGTCCGATATACAAAGCATTAAATTTTAAGGAATCTTCGATCCTGATATCGAGCGAGATAAAATGTTCATAAATTATGATTGCTTTTTTCTATTTCAGTAACTTCGCATTTTCAATTATAATTTACATAACAAAAAAGATTTTTCCTCAGTGGAAAATGTCATAAGTTTTCAATATTTCTCATCGCGGACTATCGTATATCCAAAACCAAAGCGAATTCTACAGTGAGAAGGCCCATACTGAGCGGAGAAAGACGCGTTGAACTCCGCGATAAACTTCTCTCGGTTACGTCTCAGCAGATGTACGAGCATTTGCCGCGGCAGCTGCTTCTCTCATCGCCGTAAACTTCGAATATCCACCCCGGCTCTACATTTCGAATTGACCCCGAACTCTCTATCATCCCCGGTGTCGATAACCTAACGTCGAATGCAAAAGCGAAATCGCAGCGGCGATTTCTGGATCGCGGCGATGTAAATTTCTCCGACCCAGCTCGAGAACCGAGCTCAGGTCGTCCTCGGAAGGTGTAATCAAACGAAAAACCGGTTTCGCGTGATTGAACCTCGAATGGAAAGTCGATGGTCGGGGTACTATTAGCACTAGCTATGTCCCTGAGATACGTACACACACATACACACACATACACAAACACACAAAAGGTAGGAAGAAGAAAATAACCTGGATCTGACTCAGACCAAAGCATTCATTCATTGGAAAGAAGAAGAAAGACTGACTTTTATTCGGTTACTTTCAAACAGGGTTGTGTTTTGTACCATGTACGTTCCTGGAATTTTATATAAAATATGATGTGCTTGTAAAGCATTGTTGTATGCCATATAATCTGTATATCTGTACATGTGTTTGTAAGAGGTGACACGAAACGCTTAATCAGTTTTAATCATATTTTTTCATCCCATAATTCTGAAAAAACATGCATATAAAAAAATAACACAATTTTGTAAAATTTAAGCTTATTACTTGTAAAAACATATTTTCCAATGGAGGATTGTAAAAAAAAATCTAGAAATATTTTCTGAGAAAAATCGAGGACTGGAATTCAAAAAATTTACATTTGAAAAGACAATCTTATCCAAGATAGATTTATGAAATATAAAATGTTCACTGGCAATATCTTTAACATTATAATTAAATATTGCAAACAAACATAAACGAGAGAGAGAGAGAGTATTATGAAAGTCTTTACAGAGGAAGGGTCTTGTAGTTCTACATCTGTCCCTGGCAAGCGACAGTGAGTGGGATAGAGCGACCTGGGCCCATTGGACCCTCCGCATTCGCGTCTGTGGAGTCTCTCTGGGAGGGTTGTCGTATCCGTTGGGGCAGGCTCGCTTATGCCGGAGAATATACACCATCGAACAAAGTCTCCTCATACTGAATACCGGATCCGGTGAAAGTCCGCAATGTTGTATCGCGTCGTTTTCTGCGGTAAAGGTGTGATGGTGCGGTGACACTACTTCCAGACCTGAATTTTATTGATAAGTGCTCGTCCAAATTCCACGTTTTTAAATTATCTCGCTGTTGAATTATCTACCTATGTCGCTGTTGAATTATCTACCTATGTCGCTTGTGAATTCTCATCCAGATGGCGTATTCGTTATTACATGAAAACGTTAAACGTTCGTTTGAAAGTCGTAGGCAACGTTACCGCCCGTTGGATTACCTGGCAAATTCTTCTCTAGCTGAATTATCGAACACTTTGTAACCGTGAATACTCTTGCTAATAACTCTTAATGACGTCGTCATTGATGTACATTATTCAGATTTCATCACAGTGTTACACAGCCTCTTCCGTTTGATTCACTTCACCAGATAAATTTGAAGTGGAAAGAAGTGACAGATGATTCTTCCGAAAAATTGTCAGACGACTGGATTCTACGAGGAATCAAACGTACTTTCCAGTTCCGGTGGGGTCGCCGGAAGTAGCTGAGCGTGACGGGGCTAACGGAAAAACGTGGGAACTCGCATCGCACAACTGCACTCCATCGCTCCATTAGTCGACATACGCTAAACGAGCTCGTGGATAATCGCATTATACACTTTGCGACAAATGTTGCTCTAGCGCGAGAAAACTTCCATCGTAAATTGCTATCGTATTTAAATCTCTTTCGTATTGGCGGTGTAAACCAAGACGAGTATAGTACAAAAGAACCATACGGAAAAAAGAAAAGAAGAAAAGAAAATAACGGAGGAGATTAACTTGTTTGTTGTTGAGGTGATACCTTAATTGCCTCGTCGGAAGCACTCAACGGCTATTCAATTAGATGGGTGGGAAAACATTGTATCGATTAAACTGTGCGAAAGACCCGCGATAAGAAAATTCGCAGGAGAACGAGTCCATAAAATACACTGAAGTCTCCTTCCGCTGTGACCTTATTAATTAGCGTATTAAAGCGGCGTGAAGTCAGTTTAATTAAATGTGCGCAAGGTATCTCTTGAACTCCGAGAGGGAAGGTCCAACTACAGGACGCTCCAATACAGATACTCGGAAGTTAAATGGAATTAGTTCTAGTCTCAAATAAATGAGTTCCTGACCGTCCGACTAAATTTTTCATTTATACAGTCGAATAATTATGAGACTCGAGAAATTCGCATTAGAAGATCATTGTCTCAGATCACATGACACCGATTACAACTCTAGAAGAATGAAAAACGAAATTCGCTAGAGAGCGAAAAGAGAATCGGAATTCGTGATGGTCTTCGCAGTAATAGACATATTGAGGACGCACGCAATCATCGTTTAAAAATAACGAAACGCAAAGAGATCGCTAAGGAAGCATCATCACGCAAGACGAGGCTAACTGCATTGTAGCCTGGCGTGCGGTAAAATACGTGGTTTCCCGCTGTTTGCCTGCGAAGGTGCTCTGTGGTATCTGTGTCTGCGATCTGCGGACTGAAGAGAGACAGAGCGAAGGCATTCAAAGAGAAGAAGAACTTAGTCGCGGGACTAGGAACGAGGAGAGAAAGACTGATAGGAATCCCACTCTTCTCTAGGTAGAATCTGTGACGTCAGCCTGGAGCAAGTTGTATGACCAGTTTGCTGCTAAAGAGAGGCAAAAGAGTAGAAGAAGAGGAAGGAAAAAAAGCGAGGAAGGAGAGCGGGAGAAATAAGAAGAGGCAATAGTCTTCTCTCTCACATTCATCCGCGTTTTTACCGGTTGGCTCTCTCTAAAGCATCTCGCGCCGCCATGTCATCCGCGCACCAAGACATCCATCAGCAGCAGTAACGCGTTTGCCCCTACCTCTCTCTTCTCTCTCTCTCTTTTTCTCTCTATCTGTCTTCGCGGCATCCATTCAGTGGCCGTTGTGTCGGACTAAAATTACCCCGGTCGGCTGATCGCCGTGATCTAAGCGCGAGCGGAGTGCTCGCTCCAGCGTGAAACGTTTCGGAGCAGATCGCGTCAAGGAGGCGCATCTCTTGATGCATCGAATATGTGAAGACGTCGTGCGACATCAGTGATATAATCGTTTCGTGATTTAATCGAGAAACCCTGCGCTCGATGGAAAGTGTACGTCATTTCGAGTTGATGAATAATACAAGCATTCAGAGTCTACATAGCAGAGGTGAAAGAAATCGAAAGGTCATTGACGAATCGATATGTAGACTCACGTAATGCTTATAGTGGGTCTTTCGAAACCTCATCGAGACATTTGGGTAACTTGAAGAGAAACTTCGTAGATTTTTCTCTCTTTCTCTCTCTCTTATTGTGTATGAAAGATAAACGTGCTACACGCTTAAAGATCACACCTGTAAGTCAGTGCGCATGGATGTCGTTGAACGATTGTTGGATATCGCGAATGGTTCATCAAAGGATACCTAAAACTGCTAACGGTCCGTTGTATTTGGATACTTGAAGAGTGTGATACTACTCATCGTGAAAACATCGTTGCTCGAGAGAAATGGGAAACCACCCATCCGCCCACCAGCCACTCGAGAGGGCCAGCCATGCTGGAAATGGTCTTCGTCTCTCGGTATGTCGTCGGTGTTGTTTTTACGTCAACTGTAACGTTTACGGTTACTTGCGCGTGCTCCATTACCAGTATCTGCGATATGAGACGAAACTGTTGTCCACGTGTACATACACACGTGACAGCTGCAACTATGTAATATTACGAAGGTTTCATTTAAATTGCATTAAGCAGAATAATATCCATCGGCATCATCCCCTTTTAATGTCACGATTTCTCATCTAAAATTTCATAAATATGGAATTATTTAAAATCTTGAATATGAAAAAAATCAGCATAAATATTTTAACTTGGCTCAAATGCACTTTGATATTCCTTTAACTTAAGGTTTAAATTTATCTAGATTTACCAAAATATTCAATATTGATAGCTCAAAGCTTGTGAAAACAATATTTAACCGATATTTAATCAAAAACTCTCGTGCAGAGAACAAATTATCGTGAAATTCAGAGAATACGCTTTTAAAATTGATATATCTTGCAGAACAATCTGTATTGCAATTTAATTAAAGTGAAGAGAATATTTATTTTCAAGATAAGTCGTGTGGATTTTTCCATGTTTTTTCGTTTTTTCAAATGAATCAAATATATTAATTCCGTAATTTTAATTTCTCTTTCTCTGATGTTATTTTCCGTATGCTTTGCATATTCATAAAGAAAGAAATGATAAAAAGATTGGCTAGGAAAAGATTATTATAGAAAGAACAGATAAAAGCAAAAAGCTTTTTTTTCTTAAATAGAATTATATCTTTGAATTTATTAATCTTTAGATTATCAGAATTAATATTATCAGAAATATACAATATGCAATTTATTTATTGTTTTTGATATTAAATTACTTGTAAAAAATAATCATTATAAAAATATTGTAAAATAATAATTATATAAATGACCATAATACTTTTATGTTTGTTAGATAATTCATTATTTTTTTTCATATTCGCAAAAAATTTATTGTTATATAATATTTTCTTTGTCATATAAATTCGTATATAATCTTGATTGTCAATTTTATTATGAATGAAATAGAGTACTTTTATATATATAATAGAAATTATTACAAGAGAGTTTATATTACGTGCAGTATATATTTTTTATTGTTACTTACTTGTAATTGTAGTTACGCTATCATTACTATGACAAAATCCATAAGTATAAGCATGAATCGTAAATTGCATGGTCATGACGTGACCATCAACGTTTTTCCTTTCAAGTGTTTTGCGAACAAGCATATGAAGGGACGATTTATTCCACGCTTCATAAAATCTAAGATTTGCAGCCGTCGGAAATGACAGTTTGCTCTTATTTCCTTCCATTTTTCACCCTTCATCGCGCCCTTCATGCATCCTTATTTCTCATTTCCTTCTCGCAATCTTCTAGATACAATAAATTAGATGTTTGTTCGTGTATCTTTAAATATTAAAGGTGTTTATTTTCCTCTTTTTTCTTTTGAATGTTTAATACAATGTTTCTCTTTCATCTTTATGCAATTTCTCTTTTATTTTTATGCTATTATAATCAATATTTATACACACTATACCTATGTAAAGTATTTATTAATCCGAACGAAATATAGATAAAGCAAATTTAAGAACATATTTTTTTACTTTATAAAATCAGATTGCATTCAGATTGCAGCATTTTTATACAGATTTTTATATAGATTTTATATAGATTTTATATAGATTTTATATAGATTTTACCTTATAATTTTAATTATACCACCATGTTCTTGTTCTTTTCTGGAAAATTAATATTTTTTAAAGAATTAGATACTAAACGTATAACTTATATAACTTTTTATAACTTTGTTAAAAAATTTATGAAAATGGATAAAGGTGGAATAAAATCGAATATTCGATTCTAATATTGCTGACTGCATATCTCAGATATTTCTGATAACGAGAAACTTCATTAATCAGAAGGCGTGACGTCAATCGCACCGGTCGTAGCATGACTAATATATCATTTTCGTTACGTTGGACATTTCGTGTCATCGTGAATATTACAATCAGCTTGTGAGAATTCGATTTCCGTGACAATCGCGCATTCTCATGAGCTTAGGAAGACCCGACGCAGATCCTTGGTACTCATCGAGACTGTCAATGCGCCATGTGAATTATATAAGCTCGCGTATCGCATTTTGTGAATCCCCATTTCATAGACGGGATGACGCACTTCATGCATGACGATTTCTCAACAGCGAAAATGATGGTACAACAAGGTGCGGTTGACGTTCGCGTTTCAATGACCTTTGCTAACCAAGCACGTGTCATGTTTGGTTCAACCGAATCGGCATTTCGTTCATTGAATACCATAACGTTCAATTTATCGTTACGAAAAGCTTGTGTCTGCAACATGTCACGCATAGTAAGAGTTTAAAACAAAATTTCGCAACGTCAAGAAATAATTTACATATACGTGTTTTACACGAATAACTATTACGCGAAACTTCATAAAGTAAAGATATTAGAATGTTTAATAAAACTTGACAAGTATCTTTTTTATATAGTGAATTTTAATATGACAATGTGAAGTAATTTAAACTTCCTCTTTCCAGAATTTATTGTATAATGATCTTTACTTTGATCTTTATTCCTTTAAAATCTATCACATTATTAATATTACAGTCTTTTTTTATTACACTATTTTATATAAAGATGTATTTAATTAATATTTAAATCTTCAATATTTTTTTTTAAATATATCATAATTTAACAAATATATATTGATAGTTATATATTAATACTTGCATGTTTAAATATATAATTTAATATAATTTAAAAAGAAAAAATTTATAGAAGTATTTTTATATTAGAACAATTTTAAAAAAATATTATAATCATTAAAATTTTTTACATATCTGATTAATATAAAATATTTCGTTTTGAAATTTTCATTTTGTTGTAAATACGTAATGAAATTCATAAAAAGAGTTTTTAAAATGTTTATTAATTAATTCTAAAAATTTTTATTAAAATTCAAGATATTAAAACTACGTAAAAATATAAGCTATATTTTACTTCGAAAATATATATACCGTTTATAAAACAAGAATGCAGTTTATAAAATTGAGCAGAAAATTATGCTTCTGTCATTTTGATGCAACAGGAAAATGACACATTACGAAACGAGAAAATTTACATTTATTCTATATAAATAGAAAAAAGATGCGATTAATGTCTGCAAATTTTTTTTTCTAAAAAAAGTTTTGCTGCAGATTTTCTTTGTAAAAAAGCAAGTGGTATTTATCGCAGAGAATAAGCGTCAAATTTTCTAGATGAATTTACGGAGACGTTTATTTCCTGCGATGAAAATGCTTTTGCTTTGTCGCTTCGTTGGTATTTAATCTCTCTAGGAGGCAAATAAAATAGTTTAAGACTCGCAGGGTGGTCATAGAAATGTCTGAATCTCGCGCCAACATTTCCCTCGATTTCGCCGTGCAGTCTAATTACATGACGTTCGTTACGCGCAAATTAGCAGAATTGCTCGATTACGTCGAGACGGCGAAAATTTCGTTTCCTGCCAAGTGGACTAGTGCAATATTTGATTTAATGTCGCGACATCGAACGAGTCATTCTCTATTTTTGCGCTTCTATATTTTATTCTACATATTTGTATAATACAAACAATTTAATGCGAAAAAATATGTCGATATCTTGAGACTGGCATATATATATATATATATATATATATATATATATATATATTTGTTGTATGTGCATCATCTGAGTTAGTTTAATAGCAATAGAGAAAAAGATACTGTAACGAATATAATCGCAGATCAATAAACACGCAGCGATTAGATAAAAAGCATTATTTACTATACGTAAATTATTATGAAATAATAGTTTTATATTGTGAAATATTTTTACTACGCTCGTATATGTTTTCGAATTTAAAATAAGTATCACGCACACATCCTAAATTATACATTTTCAAAATTGCAAGAAATTACTCGACAGATTGGTAAAAGAAACAAAATCATGTTTAACAGAGTCGAAAATTCAAACTCAAAATCAATGCTTCGAATTAATTTATTTCAACGGAGGAGAAAGTTATGTTATATTTGCGCAAATTGTAGAAATGTCTGGCCAATCGAGCGGATCATGAATTATATCGAATCGCGTTACGCGACAAATCAACACGCATAAATCTAATCTCCGCACGCACGAAGTCACACTCGCAATCGTACACGCCCGCGATCACGCATACTCGGTGATCCAATCGTATCGGGGGGATCGAACTCAAGGATAACTGGTACTATACGCAGCATTCGTTTCGACAAATGAAGCAAAAGAGTTTGAAAAGGCGTTTAAAACGTCGACTACTCTTATAGGTGAACGAGCTGTCTTTTTTACGAATAAATACTATAATTTACGAAGAGTATAAAAATCCAAAAAATACTACTAAAGCGATTTTAGAGAAGAAAAATATTTAATATGGATATATACCGTTCATACTTGATACGCAATTTTGCCGCGACTAATGTTTTTCTGAATTTTCTATGAAATTTGTATACGAATCTAATCAGATATAGAAGAACCAATATCTCTTAAATTTCTCCTATATTTAATACTTCGAGTGTTTTCAAAAAAATTTCTTGCAATTTTACATATATATTTTCAGTCGCAGATAAAATATGATTATTTTTCTATCAATCCTTTTATTATAAACTTTGTTACTCGATCTTATTCACTAAATGACATTTAATTATCCGTTGGAACAAAGGCGACTGATCGTGCAAGTTGAAAAATCGCACGTTGCATTCCTACACTTGGCATTTCCATGTCGTTCGCGACAACAAGCCGCATCGCATTGTATGAAAGCCTACTCGCTGCACGCAATCCAGAATGCAACGTTAAACTTTTCTGCGTGTGCGTATGTATCCGCCTCCGTTATTGCATGCGTAGACACCTGCCGCGGTGAAAGGATTCGACTCGGTGGATGTACTCGAGATGCATGAACTGGGCGTAGCGCAAAGTCAAACTACTTTTCACACTT